TTTTACAATACATCTCATCTCTAAAGATGTCCTAGCATTCAAAAAATGGTAAATATTTTAAATTTTAAGTTGGTGTGGTATAATTAAAATTTGTGATCGATTGTGTCACTGTGACAGTTAATATAGGCCATGGCCATGACTGCAGCCATTAAAGCAAAAAATGTATAAAAAACAACAGTTTACAAAGTTTTATAGAAGGTTATTAAGAAACTAAGTTATTCTTAATTCAAATTTTTAACCTATTTGAAAAACCGGAACATTTTTGATTGGCAGCTTTTTTGTAATTAGTTTAGCAATATATATAACCGATGTAAATTATATAAAAAACATTACCTTAACAATATTTTGGATCTTTTCAAAGGTTTAAAAATAGTTGCAAGAAAAAAAATACCTTTTATATTGCAACTATTTTTGTGCTAATTAATATAACGCCTTATATTAATTACCACAAAATTGTTATATTTTTCATTTTTAACAACGTTTCGGTTTTTCAATAAGGGTGCAAATTTGGATTAGGTATTATTTTAACTTTTAATCTTATAATTTTTTTTTTAAAATGACTTTTAGCTCGAGTGTTTGGCTTAATTGTGGAGCAAACATGCAAAAACCGATAAATCCATTTTTATATTTTAAGAGAATGGTACCGATTCTTACTAATTTTGGTAAACTCTTTTGCAGCATTTTATGAAAAAACCAAAACAGAGACAACCCAACAGGAGCAACATCATCTTTTAATAGTTTTTAAATATTTGGGGGACTCGGCTGTACACATTTTTGACCAATTCTCTTAATTAAATTAAGTTTAAATTCCCACTCTTTTAAAGGTTGCAAAATTCTAAGACACTAAAAATAATCAAAACGGTACGAAATTTCGAAAAATGATTTAAAGTGTTTTTTTTTTAATTTAGTTATTATCCACAGATTTTTACAATTATCATTACTTTCCAAAAAATTAATACAACTTCATTGACACATTTGACGTGGTTTGACTCACTAGTATAGGTATTTAGATAGAATAAGATTTTAAGTTTTATTTATTTGTATTTTTTATTTTAAACCTATTATGTACCAAACATATTTTATTACACTTAAAATGTATTTAAACAACAATGCAAATAAAGTTTATGTTTAATGTTGTATATGTATTTTATATTTAATTTCCCTAATATTTTATTACTAAACATAGTAATCTGCAGCCCATGGGCCGCATTATTAAGTCCAATTTCACAACATATTTGTTCCTACAATTTTAGGCTCTTTTCAATAGTAAACAGGATTAAGTCCTGGCTTTTGATAAATCAAAAACTAAGTAAGCCAGGATTTAATCCTGTTTATCATTGGAAAGAGCGGATAATTGTAGGCAAGAAAGTGGGCTTTATACAGTTTGTACAATAATATTTCTTTTTGTACTAAATATAAATATTTATTATGGCAAATGTTATAATTCTTGTGTCTAAAATAACATAATTTCCTTATAAGAATACAATATACTTAATATTAATTAATACAAATTTTATAACTAAGAATAATTATTTTAAAATTAAAATTATTATACACTTATATAAGCATTATGATATTCTTAATTAGAGATTACATGTCTTAAATGTCTTTTGATTAAGTATATATATTTTTTAAATTAAAATAACGATGCACTTGCTATAAGCATTACGATATTCTTAATTGAAGATTTAACGAAGTTTATGACAAACTATACTTGTGCTGATTATAAGAATATAATAATCTATTTCTAAATGTATCACATACTATTTACCAGTAGATGGGATAAACTCACATGAAGAATTGTTATTCCCAACGCATGTATGGGTCATTCTTACAATAGGGGAAATTTTATGTCCCTGACTTGCCATGCTCAGTCAAGTGCATGTTCACCATTTTTTATTTTATATTTATTTAGGGGTTTATTGACCCTATTCATACACCTATTAACTTAATAATAAAATAAAACCAATTCGATACATTTTCCCTTTAATTACATAAATTGTCATTAGCGTGGATGTCCCTGGATATCCTTTCACCAGAATATTTTTTTTTGCAAATTAAGAAACTGTCCATAAATACTCTAGCAATAGTATATTATAGACAACACTTTTTAAGATATGTTAAGCGGGATTGAGACAAAAAAATAAAATTGAATTCAAAAAAAACATTTCTTAAATGTGTCCCTGAGTTTGACATCATTAGCGTGGATTAAAATGATACGTATTTAAAATTCCCGCCTACTTTAAATTTTCCAGTTAGCGACCGTTATTATAAACATTTTGGTATACGCTATTTACTTGATTTGGCGCCAAACGCGAACAGTTGCACAGTGAACTATGAAGTGTGAAGTTGTTATGTGTTTCATGGGCGTATGTTTATAGTGCATCATTGGAGTGCTAGTGACAATTTTGTTTATCTAAAAGCTATTAGAAAAATATTGACAATAATTAATGAGCAGTGACAACTACAAAAGGTATGCATAATTTAAATTAAATTCATTAATCCATTTGCTGTCCAAAGAACCTTAACCTTAATTTTGTCATTGGCGTGGATATTTACTTGCATCATTGGCGTGGACTTTTTTGTCCACGCTAATGACGGACTATCCACGCCAATGATTTTGTACGAATAATGATAATAAGATATTTTTATCTAAACTCGGCAGTAAAGTAGAACTTTAGTACCGATTTAATACGAGCATTGTATGCAAACCATTACTGCTCCTTACTGCTTTTTAGCAGCAACTAAACTACATTTAAATGACATTCGATTCAAATTTTATGCAGAAGTTGTCTACTGTTTAAAAAGGTAAATAATTTATAATTATTAAATGCGATTTCGGATAAAATTTAATATCGTTACCCTAATTCGCAAAAGACGTAAGTCCACTTTTGAAAAACCAGGTTTTAGTGCCATCTCCTGTTCATGAACAATGTTCATTGAACATGCAGCTTTAATATCTACATAAACATTTACAATGGGTAGCTGCAATTTACAGAGACATGGTATCCACAGTGATGTAACGTATCGAGATACATGTATCTGGATACTGGATCTAGATACATTTTATGTACCTAAATACGTATCGAGATACTTAAAAAAATCAAGATCTACTTTAATATCTAGATCCTTTTGAAAGTATCTAGATCCTTAGATCCTTGCTTTATAAATATCTATTGCGTTATAAGGTCCAAACAATTTTTTTCTTTGTCATTTAATTTTTAAGTTTTTAGGTAACAGAAAGTATCTGGAAGTAACTTAGATACTTTTTGAATGTATCTGTATCTGTACCCAGATACTTTTGGGAAAATGTATCGGTATCTGTACCCAGATACATCTGCCAAAGAGTATTTGTATCTGTACCTAGATACTGAAAAAAATGTTGCATCACTGGGTATCCAGGTATGTCTCCTTTTTTTATTAATATCGAGCACTGAGGTAAATTATTTTTAGGAATAATTAAGGATATAAATGGAGAAAACATAACTATTACCTTTATGGCAAGAAGTGGTAAATATTTTTATTGGCCTGGATCAACTGATCGACAAATCTTTACAGAAGCTGGTATATTATGTAAACTTGATTTGCCACCACAGCCAATTTCAAATAGATTTTTTAAAGTACCAAACTCCGAGGAAATTGATAAAATATGCTTAATTCATTAATTTTTTTTGTAACCAATGTTTACTTATAAATAAATATTAAAAATATATTTTGTATCATTATTAAATGAAAACTGTCATTAGCGTGCCTCTTAGTCATTGGCGTGGATATGGATTTTTGAAAAAGCCCCAAAATTAAAAATTGAGCTCAACAGACTCATCATTTCATAAACTTTATTCATTTCTTATAAAACAGTAGTTTTTCAAAATTTTCTGTAACTGTTTTTTTTTAAATTTATTATACTCAAGATTGCTCCTATTATAAGAATATCCCATATAAGAATGTAATTTACTTGGTTTAATTCTAATAAGTTTAAAGAAAATGTATCGGTTTTTTTAGTTTTTATCATTTGTTTAATATTATAAGTGATATAAGGTAACGATATTTTATTAGATCTTTTTGTAATAATTGGAGCGTGTTTATTAAAAATTGACATAATATTTAAGTTTAAAATATTTATTTTTTCATCTATATTATTTACGTATTTAATAGCATTCCAATTTGCTCTAACTGCGTCAAAGGCTAAATCATTAAAGTTAATATTAGCAAAATCTCTGTAAGAGTAGGTATCAACTGTTTTTGTTGGTTTTTCTTTTACAATTTCTACAAACACACATAAATGATCCGTTATATTAAACATATCCAAGGTTTCACAATTTTTAAAAGCTAGTTCTTTACTTATACAAATTATATCTATTAGAGTCTCTGTATTACTTGTAATTCTAGTTGGAGTGTTTACTATTTGAAGAAGATTGAAGTTTGAAATTAGAGATTCAATTAATTTGGTTTCCTTAGAATTTTTGTTTAAAAAGTTTACATTTAAGTCACCTGTTAGCACCAAGCTATCCACTTGTACACACAAATTTTCAAGAACATCACCAACAGTCCAAAGTTCATTCACGTTCACCTTGGGGGCACGGTACACAACTCCAAGTCCAATTTTGTTCTGCTTATAGTTTAGAATAAGCCAAAGCTGCTCTACTTCCATACTGCCGGACTCTTTTTGATAAAAAATTTTATAGTTCAAACCATTTTTTACGTATATTCCTACACCGCCTCCTCGAGTAATTCTGTCAGCGCGAACTAGAGTATATCCAATAATGTAAAAGTTATCACTGGATAGTTCAGGTGACAACCATGTTTCACTTAAACAACAAACATCAAAATCATGTTCCATCAAAACATGCTTAAAAAGTAGAAAATTTGAATTCAGAGATCTAACATTTACGTGTGCTATTTTTAAATTTAGTTTTTTGAACCAGAAGATGTTTTATTTTCCTGCTTTTTTGCTATAAAAGGAATACCATTGGAATATTTTATAAATAGATTTGATTCACCTTCTTCAATCCTTGTTGCCAATTCTTCCTTTATTTTATTAAAGTAGTCTCTTTGCATAGGTGTGTTATCTGCTGCAATGGTGATATGTTTTGTTTCCTCAAGACTTTTTAATTTTCTTTTGTTTTTAATAATCGTCATGGCATCATCATGACTTTTAAGTTTTATTTTAAGCGGTCTTATTATGTCGCTTGTAGTATTTTTTCCAAGCCTATAAGTTGAAATGTTTGAAAAATCCACTAGGTTAGATATTTTATTCAAAACATTTACTGCACTTTCCATATCGAGTTTTTTCTTTTCCTCAATACTACCATTAGCCTCACTTAAGTTAAAGAGAATAATATTATTTTTTCTACTATCACGTTCACCCATTTCTTTAATAACATCTTCTATATTAAAATTAGTTTTCTTTTCTGCTTTTAACTCTTGAATTTCTTGTTTTAAGCTTAAAACGCTTTCTTTAAGTTCCTTAATAACATCAATGAGATTTTCATTCTCGGATATATTTCCATTTAATACTGTACTTGTATTTTCATTATTTTTGCAGTCAATACACTTCCAATAGAAGCCTTCCATGTTTTTTATTTGAGTATCGGTTAGTTGAACACATTTGCCGTGAAACAAGCGTAAGCAAAAACCACAGTCTATTTTTTGCGACCTGGTGCCGATGCTTGTATTGCATTTATTACATATTTTAGCCATTTTAAGCCGTTTTAACTGTTTTCACGATGACTAAATTTTATAATTGGATTCTTCAAATTTTTAAATTTTAAACTTATTAAAACCAGTAAAAAAACTTAACTTTAATCACCACCTAAATTAACTACGTACTACGCGTGCAATTGCTTTACTGTACTTGTAGGATTTGCGATTATAAAAAACCTGTGTCTGTGCGATCATTAGCAAAATTTCTTAATCCTTGCGGACGGATTTATTTATTTAAGAAAATAATATTTTTTTTAACTTATTAACAAAGTGATAATAAAGTTTCAAAAATAAAAAAATATAAATTATTGAAGTCTATAGTATGAAAAAATGGTGGTCCTTATGTCCACTTACTCATCCGCAGTATATGAAATGTTTCCATTGTCATCTTCTCCTCATCTTCAATAACCTCTTCCTCTATTACTGCATTTTTTTTCTTTATCATTTATTTTATAATATTTTCGTTGCCATCTTCTCCATCTTCAATAACCTTTTCCCCTATTACTGCAATGTCTTCATCTTCATCATTCATAATCTCTGGCATATGCAGAAATTCCTTCTGATATTATAATATCAAAATGAATTTATTTGATCAAAGTATTGAATTTCAATAAATTCAATAAATTCACGCATTTTTTCTGCAAACAAAAGGAATATAAATAACCGCGGTGTAAACCTATTGGCATTAACACTAAGACCCTGTAGGGACCACCAAATGTTGACACCAAATTAAGTAAATGTTTCTGCAAAAACATCGACTTTATTGTGTTTGTTAGTTTTTTATAGCAATTAAGAATAAATAAATTCACTTACCGCCCATTTCACTTCACGTCTCTGCGACGAAATTTGAGAGATGGCACCAGGCCACTAAATTTAATAAAAATTTATAAATTGTTGGTATATATATGGCCGCAAAACATTCATTAATTACGTGAGGCATTTTTCTGATAATTTGAACCCCCCTTCCCTTTGGTGAGATGTGGTAGACCCCCCTATCCCTCAGGTGAGATTCTAGCCATTAAACTTTTTTGCGGACAAAATGATAGACCCCAGAAAAAAATGATTATTTTTTTTAAACAAATTTAAATTGAGGGGCTCGGTGCAAGAACCAGGTATCTCCATATTCGGAAAATGTTCAGGAGAAAAGAAAAACCTTGTTATAAATTATTTTGCACAGAATAATTTCTGCGGTATCACCTGTATCTGATACACTGCGCGTCAAAATTAACGCATAATAAGTAAAAAAAATTTTAACTCAAAAACCCCTTTACCAATCTTTATGAAATTTTGTATAAGAATACTTCAACTCAGTTTACGTGTTCGAGGGTTTTTCGAGAAAATATTTTTAAAGCCCTTTTATTTAATATTAAAAAAAACGCTCAAAAAACTTTTATAGAAAACTTTTTAAGTAAATAAAAAATATGCTGGTAAAGAAAATTTTGTACAAATCAAACGAACAGTAACGAAGATACAGCGTTTCAAAGTCAAAGAAAATGACCCTTTTTTGATTATTTTGCTGGAAGTGGTCATTTCTACCTAATTAATGGATGTCCCCTAATGTAATATTGTTCTAATATATACTGTACATGTAAATTTTTTGACCGTTTTATTTTGCTTTAAAACTAACTTCAATACAATACAAAAAGTTTACTTTAAGACAAGATTTTTTATCGACCCCTAGTATTAAAATGTCTTTCTATATACACTTATGAGTATTACCTATAATAAGAAAATAATAATAAATAAGGCGTATATGCTTGAAAAAAAGTATATTAAATCCATGTTTGTACTATAGTATACTGGCAAAATTTACTATAGAAAACTATTGATTAAAAAGGTAAAGAAGTAAAAATTACATACAATTTATAAAGAACCCACCTGCCTTTTCAGAAAAAACTTTTTTAAATTCTGTGAATCTGTGTTACATAACTATTTACTATTGTATGAAAGCCCAAAGGAAAAAAGAAATCTTATAAATCTCACGGTCTAATTTAAAAATTTAGGACGGTTGTAATTTTGCGGGATCCAAAAGTGTTTGGGGCGGCATGAAAAGCAAAGAATACCGAAAAAGCTCCAAATTACCGATCGACGATACCCAATATTAAATTGAAACACGCTTTCACCGATATTAATGCCGTTGTCAGCCGAAGTAAAATAAATGCTATCCAATATTTTTAAATAACAGTGTTTAAGGACGGTCACTATTCACACATAAAATTTATAAAAGATGGTTTTATAAAAGAATCAAGAACGAGAAGTTTGACCCAAATATTGATGAATTAACATAATTTGAGAGATTTTTTTAAATATATTTAACATGTTGGATGCATCCTGTAGTATTATGTCTTTTAGCTGTCCACCGAAAGGCATAATCCACAAAATCGCTGAGTCAATAAAATAGCACAATGCACATGTGCCGATTTTTACAAAAAAAAACTTACCAAAACTCTAAAAGTGCTTTTACTAAAGCCAAAATTTGTGTACCAGGGTTTTTAAAATAGTTTTTTTTAATTTATTATTTTTTGTAAATTTAAAGTGGTGGATCTAAAATGGCGTACTTGTATCTTCAAAAATATTTCGATTAAAGCTTGTTGTGTACTATTACATGGCACCGATTCTAACTCAATCAATGAGTTAGAATCGGTATAAATACACTATAGTGTATACTCGTGAGTTATAAATTTGATATAAATTTTTTTTCCAAAATGGCGGATTTAAAATGACGGACTCTCAATGCCAAAAATAATCTAACTCTATTACTATTACTATATTACTATTTATTGTAAAGTTTTTTTCAGATTTGAAAATAAATATTAAAATATACCTAAAAAAAAGTTTTAGTTAGAATCGAGCCACACCTCGCAAAAGTGTTGGGTCCCAAAAAAATATATATTGTAATTTTTTTTATTTAGATTTCAAAATAAACATTAACATATACCTATTAAAACTTTTTTTTTCAAAACCACTACAATAATTTAAAATAAAGGATATTTTGTGAATAATTAACATCGATATCTTAGGAAATGACATATTTTAAAGGAGGGGGTATCAATCGCTTCTGAAACTATGTATAGGTATCCAGTAATAAATTTTGAAAAAGTGTAAACTAATAATAAATTTAAAAATGAAATAAATTTTATTTTCCATTATTAAAAATTTTAAATAACAATTAAAATTTGATTTCTTAATATTTTGTAGTTTCAAAATAAGAAAATTATATATTCAATATTGTGATATGGGGTCTTTCTAACAATTTTTTTTACAGTTTCTCCACTGAAATCGATAAGACCCGTATTTTTTCTTTTTGCTTAAATTTGTTCACCCATAGGAATTTTTTTAAAATGGACAGGAACATCGATTTTTCTCTTTTTACGAGTGACATTTTTTCTTGAAAATGCGATAACTTGGCCAAAAGTGTTTCGTATATTTGAAATATGTAAAAATGTTAAATTAAAGAGACAAAAATCAACATAACATTTTGTTGTTACCTATAGTTTTATGTATAAAATTTTGTCAAAGATAGCTAATGCTATAATTTTGAAACCGATTTGGTAAATAATATAGACTCTATTAAGAGGATTTTGGGCAGCTCAAGGCGAGTAAAATAAAATTGTAAAAAAGGTAAGTGATAATTTTTGGTATTGAATTAATTTTAGCAAGTTTTAAGGGTTAAGGGTTTTATTATCGACGCTAAAAAAATTCTTACTTCCAAGAAAATAAGGGCCTCAAAATATCAAATAGCCCCGGGCCTCCATGTAGTTTAGTACGGCCCTGCAAGTTTGTCACCTACTTACCATTTGGAGATACCAAATAGGTTGCTTTAAATTTCATATAAAACTAAATAATATTTTATAAATAAATATATTTTATTATACAGGGTGCACCTAGTATTCATTTGGGTATTTTTTATTTGAAACAAGGTCGGTTATAAAAGAGAAAAATCATCGTTGGATTCTCTGATTTTGTTCTATATTCCAAGTAAAATTTTATTATGGCGGACATAGGAAAAACAAAACATGGTAACCACCAGGTAACTCACAATCGAAAAAAAATCACAAATTGGTTGAAAAAGTAGATAAATGTGTATGTTCACATGTGAAGCTATTTTTTTTATTAAAATTCTCAAGAATATTGAAATTTGATTTTAATAGATTTTCAGTATTTTTTAAATTAGAGAATTTTTCTGCAATTTTCAAATGCCATTTTAATAGACTAATCTAAATATTTGAAAAAAACCTATTTAAATTTTTAATTAAGAAAATGTGTCTATTTTTGATTTTTAAACTAACATGGCTTGGCCTCCAATTTGTTCAGCATATTGTTTTAAAACTTATTTTACATTTACCAGTATTGGAACAAAAATACTAGATTATTGGGGAATTCGGTAACCGAACTTTTATTTCTGATTGTAAAATAAAAATAATTTTGGTAGGTACATTAAAATTATGTAAAAAAAATACAGAATATTATCAAAAAAATTTATACAATCACATTTTATTTTTTTAGTTTAAAACTAAATAAACTGTGTCAAAGTAAATTGTAAATCATATAAAATCACCAAAACCACTGCAATAAACCTAAGTGGCGCCAGTGATCTTGTAGTCAATAGTACCTATAGGTATACTGTCGTACCGAATTGTAAAATTTTTATTGAATGGAACATCCGAAATCGGTCTATTGCACCCTACAAATATTGATTCAGTCGATGGTTTACAATCAAAACGTGACAATGAATACCTATGAACCAATTTTTAGTTTTAACAAACATCAACATTTTACAGGATAAAATATAAGTAGAAACAAGAGCAAATTTGTTATTTAAAATTATATTTTAATAAAATCATACAGAATATGGAAATACGATTACCTAAGTACCTGAGGAGAAGTGGTTAGGGGAATTTTTCTATTTAATATTAAAATTGTAGGTATCTTTATAAAATGGTTATAAAGATCTTTAGGACAAATTTAACACCATCGGCTTGTAAACAAATTACTGA